TCATCTTATGCTGATTTATTTACTCTTTGTTTGGCCTTATCGCTTGCTTATCAATCCATTCTATCGTCGTCGCCCATTTGCATCTCATATCGTGAAAAGTTACATTCAAAGCCGTAAATATCCTACATGGACGTCATTTTTTCTGCTTTATCGGTAAAAAACTACTCCGCAATTCTTATTATCATTTTATACGAAGAAATCATAGAAATATTGCATGTAAGAAAGTTCAGGAATTCATTTTTCGATTTTATCACTCGAGAAATTTCTTTGGAGTGATTTTCATTATTTTACTCACCATTTGAGGGACGTCCAAGACGACAATTTTGGCGACAAGCATTTCAATTTTAATGTTGATGGCCATAATTATTGCATATTGAGGTATGTTATTCCGTTCCTTTCTACAAAAATTACTATTAGCGTTAATGCCATTTTTCATTGCTATATTTGAAGATGTTTAATTCCTCGGCGTTTCAAATACGAATCCTTTATAATTTTTTTTTATAATCAACGAGCTGAGTATTAAACATAATATACATAACTGTACACGGCGTTACTCCAAAGATACTCCAAATAGGATGAGCTCAGAGGAAATATATATAAATTCTTTTCTTTTGCATCATATATATCGAACTGCTTTTTAAATAGAATTTAGATACTGTGACAAGTGTTTTCCTTATGTTTGTTTAAAAGAGAGAGAAACAGAGAAAAAGATAGTTGCTCGATTAGTGTTGTATTGATCTGCTATTAGTCATAGAACGAATACTGCTGTTGAATAGTGAATAGTCAGTTTAATCGTCACTTCGTTCGGTAGGGACGATTGTGTTTGCCATATTTTTCATATTTACAATTAAAACCGTAAACTTCACTCTTAAAATCTTAAGAAAGACTTACTATTTCTTCATGTCAATTTTCCTAATTAAAAAACCTCAGATATTTGTTATACGAAAATAAAATAGAACTTCCAAGATATTTGCTGACAGTCTAAAATAGGTTTGGTGTGGGCGTTAGATAAATCAAATAAGCAACCATATATGTATATCAGGACAATAGCTAGCTCTGCTGTGCAGGTAAAATCAGTTTCTGGATACGTCGTCCGCAAGAGCAGGAATTTTTACAAATTGTCAGTATGATCTCATTTTAAAATTTTAAATAAATTTTGTAATTTTACAGAAGAAAATCGTATAACTGATTACAAATTGAATGTATTTATTCTTGTATATATTTTTTTGGTATACGATTGTTAGGATGTTGGAGGACGGGCAACCGTGTAGATGGGATAAGTGTGAGGTATGGCCTTGATGTGAGGAACTCGTCTATTCATTTTTTTTTTGAATACCATCATTATTCATGAAACTTTCTATTGCTGCTAAAATTTACATGTTATAGAATTTCTTTTACATTATTCGTACTACTTACGGAGAGCACTGTCAACAATCCAATCATCATCTGAAGGTGCTTTTGGATAAAAGCAAATGCATTTCCTTTGTTGTATACCTTTTCAACTAATTTATCTGCAAAAAAATTTTCCTTTCAAGTATTTTTCTGTTGACTTCAGTACTTCCTATAATCATTTGTGCAAAACCGATCATTACTTTATTTTCATTCTCCCTCGTGCTTTTTTGCATCATCGGAAGGTCTAATTGTTTTTTCTTTTCGACTCATTAAGAAGTGATGGAGATTGTTTGTTTCAATAGTAAATGATTTCAGTGATCTATATAGTAAGCATCGCTCTACTTTGCTATCTGTTTCAGTTTTGAAAGGCTACTCATCTTTTAATTTCAAAAAATTTTCTAGCAGAAAATAGCAATAGTAAGGATTGATTTTGATGGCTTTAAGAGCTTACCAGTCTAACTTATATCGTTAATTATTTTATCAACTTTGCGAATTCTTCAAAACGGTGCTCAGTTAAGATGATAACAATTTATGATATTGTATATAGTCGACAAACTTTAGTATTTTTATCTATTCGAATTAGTAAATAATGCCGCTTTGCTCAAACATATTACAAAAATCTGTCATATATCGACGAAAACTTATTGGAGAGATAGATATATTGTTTGTTCTCACTTTCAATGTATAAGGTTTTGGCGCTTTCCGTTATGTTTGAAATTCATTAAGAAATTCACCATAACTGTTATTTGTTTTCTTCAGTTGATCAGTCTTTTATGTCACTGCATGAAGATTGTTCGTTAAACACTGCTGTTTATGAGAAAGAAATTAGGATCTGAACATGCAACGCTTGTTGACTGCATTCTTTCGTCTATGGTAGAGTTTTCGTTCAAAACAGCGAAATTCTTTTTGGTACTAATCGATTGCAAACATAACTGTTTCGCATGGAGATTCCAGAAATTTTTCAAATAGAGATTGGTGCTCTCTTCAAAAAGATACTTCCGCAGTTCTGAATTCCTCATTTAATTATTTAGAAGGCCTTGCAGATACATGATTACCTTATTTACTCGTCTTAGCATGTTTGTTGGAAAAATGACTTTTTTAAAAATAATTTGACAGAGCTTCAGCATCAAACACAATTTAAAATGATTTCGGAGTCACTAAAAATTTCATACAAAGAAAATAGCGAGTGAATGACATTGTCTCATATAATGCCGCTAAAGAATTGTTTTCCTTTTTAAGCGATAACTTAGCGATGCGCATTTTTTCGCAGCAGGTGCTCCAATAATAGTTTTCTGAGCTAGTTTATTGCTACTGAAGCAGGTTTGGTTATATTTCCTATATATAAAAAAAAATTGCTTACCGAAACATTGATAAAGTAACAGAAACTTCGAAAATTAGATCAAGATTCGCAAAGTTTCTGTCATTTCATCATCTTTCGCTATAATCTATAAGAGGAACTAGGAATGTCAATGCTGAAAATAAAGTGCTTTTTCTCTAACACAAACTTCACTTTTTTAAAAACCTTTCTGTACAATAGAATCATCCCTTTTTCAGATATGCTTTCAGTTTTTCTTCTCAGTCTGATAGAATCGATTAATATTCTCTGTTTACTTCTTTATACCTCTCTTTGCAACAAACATTGTTATTGCCAGTTTATTGTCAAACATTGTTATTGTCAATAATGAATATTCCAAATCTGATGACGCCCCATTTTCTTTCTAAGTTTCTTCTTGATTATGATTTTTCTCCATTTTTTGTGGCTAAAACTCGAGCCTTTGATTTTTTGTATCTGAATTTTATCTAATGCACTTTTGTTTTGTTTCTCATTTAGAATATTCATTAAATCTAAATATGAAGTAGGAAGAACATTAAATTGAAAGTAAACTTTTTCTAGCACCATTCTACATGTCGGAGTTCATCCAGAATTTTAAATTATTAAATGTGTGAGCAGTCTTCCATGTTGTGCGTGTTTCATTTTATGAAGAGGATTTTTTTATCCATTTCAATTCGTTTTAAAAGAACAGAGTGCAATTTTTGATAGGATTTATCATCATACAGTCGAATGTTATGGAAAGCCATATCTCACTGAGAATTAAATAAGAGCTGGAATTGAAAGGTCTGATATTAGATTAGTCCAGTGGCCAAATTTCCAGTATTTGCTCTTCTAATTCTAATTAATATATCTGCATAACTTAGAGGTTCAACAACATTTCAACCAGTTCACTCATTTTCTAATGGTATTATATTATTTGTTTCTGCTACTGATTCACTGATAGCACAATTTGACGTTGGATGAAATACACAAAGCTTATAAAAATGTCTGAATTTCTGTAAGTTTTATGGACTCGCAAAATCCAAATGGCTGTAAAAAGCATGAAGAACCAACGGTGAAAAATTAGAAGTCATTTTTTTTATGAACAATGGCGGGCAACAAATTTAGTTTTTGTATTGGTAAGTGCATTGTTATATGTTCCCACTTCTGAAGATCTTTGACGCTCTATTCAATTCTTGAGAACGGTTTTCCTGGCAGTTCCTTTGCTATGTCACATACACTAGTGTATTACAACTTTCAACCCTCACTATCTTTTTTTGTTTTCATCTCTGTGTATTTCGTTGACACTTCAATTTTTTTTTCCTTTGGATTTCATGTTTTACACTTCCGCTTGCTTCAGAATTGGTTGTTATCCATATATCAAATATCATTGCACGAAAGGACCGTGGGAAGATTTCAGCATCGAAAATCATTTTTATAAATTTATTACAGTTTTGAATTGTGGCAAGTATTTTTTCCACTTAATGACTTCGAACTATTTGGCATATTGAATTAAAAAATTTTTAAATAGTAAAGTAAAGAAAATACATGCTTCTATTGTGAAATGCAAAATTTTTTTAGTATTTTTTACTCAGTGCTTTTGTTTAACATTTGATTGATAAAATTATTTTATAGGATTGCCTTGTCTGCTGTACGGATTAGCAGCGCAAGTTTTTATCCGACATACTGAATATATTGTAGACAAACATACGGGTCAGAAAGTTGCAATCAAATTTTTGCTTAAAGAACTGCATAATTGAGGTAATTTTATAGATAAATGCAGAACCTTTGGTACTTTATATTTTTCTATTGCATTAAATTCTCCTGCACTCATTTAATATGTTGGCGCAAACAAAATAAATTCATTTTTATTTATCGTATAGAAATTTGTTAGAAGAACTGAGCATCAGCGACCTCTAACATTCTCTCTTGCGAAAAACATTACTTTTATTGGGGTTTTTTATTCTAATTCGCTTGTTATACTCCTTGTCTCCAGTTCTGTTATTCGGAATTTTATTCGTACTTTTAAGGGAATCTTTACATCTCTCTTGCTTGTAATTCTGAGAACAAGTATATGTAGTGAGAAAATTTTCTTTAAAATTATGGGTCCTCCTCTGTTGATTTCTTTTCTTTTGTGCAGGAAAGGAGAGAAAAAGAATTATGTCGCGGATGAAGCTAGATTTTCTTTAATATTCTTGATGCTGGGATCTCATATCCATATAACTTGTATCCATAAAGACAGTGTTTGTTTTCTTGAGTTTGAATTTTCCTTATTTATTAGTGAAAATGGGATCAAATGTATTTGGAAGTATGTCAACATTAGTTTTAAAAAAGGCCGTTTGGTTGTCTGGAAGGTCCTCGTGTTTTTAAATAGGCTTTCAAATCATCGTTTCTCGAGGTGTGACTGAAATTTATTGTTGGGATGATTTAATTTACAAATGAATGTTTAAGTTTTCAAATAAAATTTTGCACGAAAATACGGCATGTGTCTATGTTAATTCTAGAATTCAGAGGATTTGGTGTTGTATCTGTTTGAAAATTAATATTTCTATTTCCTAGTCAACATACTGTTGTCCAGCAAATCCTCTGTATTATTTTTTTTATACATTTATATTCTGTATCTGTATGTTTTTACTTTTTTTAGATTGCACGACATTGTGATTACCAAATGCCTTCTCCATCCAGTCCATTAGAATATCGACCAACTCCACATCTTATTCTTATCATTATTTTTGTTTTCCTTCCACTCATTTATTTATGCGGACGACTGGCTATTACATCATGTTTTATATTGCTATTTGTTCTTAAATCGATGTTCTCACCTGTCTTGCAGTTGTTGTATGGGAATGAACTGATTCCCATACAACAGATTCGTGTTGTACCACCAGTACGAATGATAAGTGCAATTCAGGAAGCACAGGTAGAGCAATATTCGGATGAACAGGTAAAGGCGACATTAAGCTATTATTGATTTGTTCCATATGAAATTAGCTAACTAATTCATTGTAAAGAAGGAAGCTTTTCTAGCATATTTCCTTTTTTTTGAAAATGTTCATTAATTTGCAACTTGCCGCAAATTAATAAAAACTTTGAGGAGTTATAATCTGGCAAAATGATTCTATTTAATACTGTTGTTTGTAGCTTACTGACGAAAGCGATGGAGAACACGAATTGATCGACACAGTCAAAATTACTGATGACTTTATCAAAGCACAACCTAAAAATTCAACTAATGTGCAAACTATTCAGTCTGGTCTGGAGATTCAAACAGGTTCGTCTTTGCAAAATTCTTTGTTCTGCAAATTCAAAGTAATTTTATTTCGTTGATTCAATTGTAGAATGATAACTTGTCTTTTGTGCTATTATCTGGCTTCGACTCGTCACCTCTCGAGAGATTTTCGTTAAAGATTTTCGTTTTAGATCCTTTCACCGAACAGATTTATTTTCTTGATTACTAATACTTATGTTGGAATTGCCGCCTTGATATGTCTTAAAAGGCTTTAAGTCTGAAGAAACTTCGATTCGTTTTATTGGTTCGTGCCTCACAAAACATTTTAAGAATTTTGTAGTTCCGAATATTTCAGAAGGCTTGCATGATTCGGAACATGATTCTGGTAATGATGAAGACCACTCAGCATTGTCTGCAAGCTCAACAGCGACAACTTCTACCAGTCAAATCTTGGACATACCAGAAACGGAAAATATGCAAAATCATAGTACTTTTAAGAGAAGCGTGCAGTTGCGGCATCGAGATAATGCTTTCCGAATGAATAACATATAGTATTTTAGTCGAAGGAAGATCAGCAGTGCAGAACTCCTATTAAGATTTTATCAGACATATGTCTTTCAGAAAGCTTTAATAAGCTCTTGTTCCTTCATTGAAAGTAACTCCCAAATTCGTAATCTATCCAATTCATTTTTTTCTAAAATATGTATATATGATCGATACAGATTTTTTAATTTTATTTCCGATGAAATGTTTTTTAGGCTAAAACTACAAGTAGATTGGATTGTATTTCAACATCCCGGAAAGAGAGAATTCTATCCGAAATTCTTATGAAAACGTGATGAATACTCACATGTAGGTGAGGCAAATGAAGATTGCACAATTTCATTCGCATCCTTCAATCGCCTATTAGTTTTTACTTTATTTACTTCATGATAGTTACGCTTTCACGCAGTTTGTTTTCAGCCGAATTCTATTCTCCTCAATTTATCAGAAATATAATGATCTCTTGTACATGATATAACGTTGTTTCTTAATAAAGAAATTATTTCGTTGCTATCGTGATTTTAAACTGCGAGAGGAATAAAATGTTGTATGTTTTCATGGTCTGAAAATCGTGCTCTCACAATATTGAAGTAGCAAAGGTCACAGGAGTTAAAAACCTCGATTTAGGATTGCATCTGCATCTGCTCATGTTTAAAAAAGATTGGGAAAAGGGCTGAGGGATATTTTTCTTGAATTAAATTTCCCACACAAATTACGATCTTCGTGTATGTCCCTATTGATTTTATTATCGCTCGCGGGGGAGTTGATGTTTCGGTCATGAATTCTAATTGGTTCTTGTTTCTGCAAATGAAACAATATTTAATTACTTTAAAAAAATACGAATAAATTATGAAATATCATTCACCTGAAATAAAAACAAGGGATGACATGTGTCGGCCCCGCAGTTATGAATTTTGAAAAGTCCATTTGATTTCACAAAGTAACTTCGGAAAATAAAGTATGGATTGAAAAATAGCTATAGGATGGATGGCCTGTTTCTCTTAGAGATTTCCTTGGCGCCAGGTGCTAAAGATATTAAAGATATTTTCTTCTGAAATCCCGGGAACATGTATATGTATGCTTGCTTTCCACAACGAACTAATAAGTGATCGATTCTATCATGTGAGTATTCCATAATTCCATAATTCACTTGTCGCGAAAGGAATATTTTAGATTAGCATTCACAATTCGAAAGATTCACATAAAATAATAGTGAGAAAAAAAAACAATGGGGAATACACAAGTTTACCACCCAAAGACATTGCAAATTAAATTAGGAAATAACAAAAAAATAAGTCCAAAAGTAAGATGCTCGGAGAACGGGTACAAATTCCTAACAACGGTGAATATAATTTGCTGAGGGAAAGAGTAAACCATGTAGAACACGAGGTCATGGCCAATGAGAGAACCCCAAAAATAAATAAAGTTTCATTAAAATCATTTTAAAGAGTATTTAGGCACAGTGGTCAAATATACTGCTTCAGAACAAGGAATATTTGGACAGTGGCAAGCTATTAAACGAAAATGAAAAGGTATAACAATCCTTTGATGTAATCAACAATTTCTTGGCCACTTAGTTTGGATTCACCGTAAAAACGGTCAACGAAAGAGATCGGCACTTCTCCTATGCGGTAATTCAATTTGCTTGCACGAAACATCATTTCCATCTGAAAAGTTGTTAGTTTTACTTAGAAATAATAAGAATTTTGGTCGAATCGATGTTTTCCTTGTTTTAAAGCTTTAAAGAAGAAATTAGATTAAAGTTCAAAATTATGATGAAAAATAGTCCAGGAAGTTTCGCGTCCTAATGAACGTAAAATTTAAATTAACCTGGAACACATATCCCTTCGAAACACTGTCAGCAATCAACCTTGCTAGAACATCCTTGCGATAAAGACGAAAAGAACCAGTCAAATCAGAAACTCCGGGTCGAAGCAGAAACTAAAATAACGAAGTAGATCACCATACTATAAAAGTGATTAATATCTATTTAAGAAGCGAACCTGAGCTAAAAAGTTAGCACCACGGCTGACGAATTTTCGTTTGAGATCCCAACCCGAAACACCACCACCATTAGCATAACGTGTGCCCGTTACAATGTCATACTGAAAAACAACAAAATAAAAGGAATTATGGCTTTTACCGCTTCTAAAAATTTCTTACAGATTTTTTAAGTTAATTATGCGTAATCTATAACCATCATGTGATATGTACTTAGAAAACACATTCAGTCTTCTTTATATGATTCTGTTACTCATCCGTATTCAAACAAAATCAGGGTAATAAGAAGGTGGATTCTGTTTGGCATTACTGGTTTCTTCGATAGATCTGCGCAAGATCGTTCTATCTGACCAAATATGTTGCAATGAAAGTTTATGAAGTTTGCTACACACACATCAAACAACTCATCAAAGAGATCTGGATAAATTTTAACCACCACAGAAAAGGTAAAACCCAACATTTTTATGTTGTTGCAACTTGATCATTTCAGGAATGAACTTCGGATGATGTGATAGGTCAGCATCCATCAAAATAATATAATCTCCTCGAGCAAATTGCAATCCGTGGGTATAAGCAGTTCCAAGACCTACAAGTAGCGGAAGCATGCTTCATTAAAGATCATAAAGTTAAAACGATTTCAACTAGTTTTTCGCTTTTAAATTTGCGGAATAAGTGTTTGAAAGAGATTTTATTGGACATCAAACAGTTAATATGTACTAAGAAAAACATCCAAAACATACCTAACTTTCTTGCTCTAGGCCTCAAAATAATTTTATCGCTGCCAAATTCATTTTCTAGCTTCTTAGCCACATCCATTGTTCCATCTGGGCTGTTGTCATCGATGATAATCACCTTTAAAAATTAGTAGCCTTAAAATTCGTGCAATCAAAATTCTAGACCTGCAAAAAAATTGAATTTTCTTATAAAATTAATGCAATACGAAAATACCTCGTAAGAAAATTCGGCCTTTTTCATATATTTTTCGATCAGCCAAATACATACTGGTAAATTCTCCTTTTCGTTGTAGGTTGGTAATAGGACCGTATACTTCGGATTAATTCCATCTTTCGACATTCGTGAGTTTTGACGTAACTAAATGTTAATTAATATTAATTCCAGCAAATTCAAGTAGGTTGATCACAGCCTGACATAAGTTCACTGATAATATGTTCTGCAAAAAATAAAACTTCCACAACTTTTAGCTTTCAGTATTTGACCATTACATATGCGATCAACTATTATTCGGCAACCGTCTTTCCTTGTTTCAATCGATTAGGATTCCTAATAAGCCTTTATAAAGAGCCGCTTGCACTACTCTCTAAACAATTACCTTAAATTTCTTAATAGCGTTTGAACAACATCAAAAGAGTCCCATTTATGTAGGAAGGAGTGAACGTGAAATCAATACTCTAGGAAACCACACTTGCTATTTCTTCTTTTTCCAGGATAAGAACCTCAAAAACGAATGACAATACGAACCTCTGGTATAATGACAGACATAAAGACCAACTTCCACTATTCGAAAAGAATTATAATTATCAGTTTATTCATAAATCAATTTGATTAAAGTAATGAAAGTACGCATTGATATAGTTCTTTGTTGATAAAAATAAGCAAGCGATTTATTGCAAGTTGTGTTACTTATTCTTGCACTAAAATAAAATTATAAAACCTCGACTACAGAAAATTAATAAAATCTTATAAAAACCTGCGAGTTCATATTCAAAATTATCATCTATAAACAGTGCAATCATAACTATCAACCAAAAAAACGATTCAAAATATTGGCAAGGAGAGTCAACGATATCCTTATCACTTTTTGCAAAAGCAATAAATCCAAACGAATTAGAAAACACAAACTTCTAAATCGTTTGAAAATGATAAAAAGATGAAAAAATGATCAGACCAATTTTTTCGTAAATAGATAAACTGTGGACGAAACCAATGAAAAAAAAATATTTCTCTGAAATTCACAAAAAACTTTACTTACAGCAAACGATTCAAAGAACTGCAAATAAATATTTTTGGAAAGCTGAATACAATAGTACAAGATACGGAACCAACGGCTAGTAATTTTTATAAAATATGACATTTTTTTCCTAAAAAGAACTTCAAGTTTGAAAGCAAAATATTTCTGTTTACAACACATAAAATCTTTGTCGTTAGATTGAAAACTTCGCATATCACTTCTTCAAGTGCTCACTTCGATGCATGTGACGAACGACCACATAAAACAAAATTTTCTTTTACCAATATCTAGCAAACCAAAACACTGTACTATTTACGGCTTTTTTGAACTCTTTCGCCATAAATCAATGTACTCGTCAGCATTAAATTTTACGGTTTCTCGTCTCTTCTGAAAATTAAGCGCAGTGTTAATAATATAACCTGGAAATGATAATACTAAATTTTCGATTTCTACATGGAAAACTTTCTTTTAAGATAGGTGGCAAAAAATATTAAAAATTGAAAGTACCTACAATTAGTTGAAAAAAGTGACGCTTCTTTCAAAAACTGGAAATAAAATCAAAATCTCTAATTTTGCTGTTCAGCTCACCGTGAGTTTCTTAGTTTTGTGTCGCTTCATTTCTAAGTGTCGACGTTCTTCATCTGTTAAAGCATCCAAGTTAAAAGGCACTTGAATCAAACTCAAGGGTTCTGCAGCTCGTATTGGAATCGTCGATCCATCTGGTTGGAGCAACTGAATAAAAGAAACAATTGAGAAATCATAAATGACTAAATTTTTATTTATCATATCATCAGGTCAGTACATCAAGATAAGAACCCAATCTTGAATGAGTGAAAATTTGAATATATTATCAATAAATCCATGATCCATATAATAATTTAGTATTTTCTCAAATTTTGCTGTTCGGCTTTTTAGAACGAAGGATAATAAAAATTTTACAGTGACGTAATATTGTCGAACATATTTGGCACGCTTTATTCGAGAAATGGCTACGTGATGAGAATTACAACGAACTGAAAATAACATGACAGAAAAAAACGTAAAGTTACCAACGGAATAATATGAATCAATAAAATAACAAAAACAATAACAGAAAGATAAAACTTACCCGAACGATAGAAGGTTTTACCTGCAGAAAGCAAAGAAGTCACTTGGCTGGATGCCATATTCTTTAGTAACTCCAACATCTTAAACTCTTTTACGAAGTGGATAACATTAACAAGGATATTTGAGGCAGTGGTACTTCACATTGAGAATTTTGAGATAATGGTACCACCTGAAAAAATTAAGATAACGGCATCCACTATTTTAGTTTTCCAACACATCTCGTAAAAATTAAAATAGCGCCGGGCTATGCGTGGAGAAACGGAAAGGATGAGAATATGGAATAACTGAGAGGAAGAAATGTGCAGAATTGAAAAAGGAACTAGTAGACACAAAAGGAACAACAGGTGATAAGTGGAAGGAGTGAAAAGTAACTCAAATATTTCTTGTTTAAGGCCTTCTTGTCAAAGTTAATGAAAACAACAGGCGGCGACGATTGATCCATCACATGCTGTTATCTAGTGATGAATCATGTTATGTGATAAGTAATGAGTAAAGCATGTGATCCAGTGGTTCAGTGTGTTATCATATCTGTTTTAAACCAGAAGGCTGACGATTTCAACTCATTTGGATCAACATCATTTGACATTTCATTTGGGGAATTCAAACTTCAGGACTTGTAATACTACGAAAAAATTGTGACTGTTCAAAAATTAACTACTTTTATAAAATAATTCAATTTCAAAGAAAGAAAGGATAAGGAATGACACTGACCTAATTGAGCTGTGTCAATTGTATCTTCAATTCTTAATAATACTATTAAATCATTATTCTGAATGAAGCATACAATGTTAACGGTGACTGCGCAAATTTAACGGACTATTTGAGTTTCTTCATAATTTTTAATCGACATATCTGTCGCTTGACTTTAGGTGAATTGAGAAGCGATTCAAACGTGATCATTTTCAACATTTACATTGAAAATAAGGACACATACACACACACATAAGCACACACACACACACACACACACACACACACACACACACACACACACACACACATTTATTCCTTGATCTTCGAAACTAGAGAAAAATGATTGGTATGATAATCAATTTTTAAAATCAATGAGAATAGAAAATATATGCAAGTAATGAATCTAATGTAATGGATAAAAATATTTGCCGAAGTAGATCTGAACCATAGTCTGGAACTTACTGATCCGAAAGCAATTGCACTATGTCCCACCATAGTCCGAATATTGCTAATTTCATTTCAGTCTGGTTCTAGCAAGGACAGAAAGGGACGCGAACTTTCTCCTTAACGAGAAGCATGGGCCGCATGTGGTCGAGCATGCACTGCTTGGGCGGTGAGGTTGGTGGTGTGGGGGAGGGAGGGTTCAGTTGGTGTGCAAAGGTCTCCATTACTTACTGCTTATTGGAGGGGATTACAGTCGTCCTTAACTCCCAGTCTCTTTCTCTTGCGACCTCACTCGCGATTTCTTTTGATAATTATGTCCTACATATGGCACTTATTATCAGCAATCACTGAGGAACGTATATCCGTATTAATCAAGTCGGGACTATGAGTATACAATGCTTACTTTAATCAGTTATATATATTAATCCAAAATATATTTGGTACTCTGTAGTTTAAAGGATCATAAACATGTATTTTGGAGTAGGATATCTAACTGATTAGACAATGCATTCACCGTTTTGCATATTTGAAATTTTATCGTCCCTTATTATCTGAATTTTAGTATCTGGAGCAAATTGTAGTTCTTGAAATTTGAACGTAATACGCTCAGGTCCGAGGTGACAAAATCATAATGTCACAATTTGGCCCGAAGAATCCAGCTGCTTGGGCTCGACCACCTGGTAATTTTTGTCTTCTACGTTACATCTAACTAACTATTATTACGTTTGACTTTTACTCGTAGAAAAATTTGTGTTTGCTAGATAGGAGGTGAATACGATATTGTCACCTTTTTTTCTGTTTTTGGAAGTGTTATGCGGTTCATATTGCGGTACCATTATGTATTATTTCAATTCATTTGCATAAAGCAAATATCTTTCATATATTTGTAAGCAGCTATTTGGCAATGAATTATGTAGCATTAAAATTTTGGTTTCTGGAACAAGAACAGTTGTCGGAATTTCAGAAAAAAATTCGATCAATCACTCACACGACTATTATTTATAAGAGATTTACAGTATCTTTTTATAATGATCAAAAGAGAACAAAATGACAAATAATCTAATATAATTTAGTTTTGAAAGCAAATCTTTCCTGACTGGAATCTAACTTTCGAAAGCAGTAAAATTTAGCTTTCAACTAGTATTAGATTTTCAGTTTAAAATTAACACCACTGCTTAAATCATTGCAGGAGCAAATCAACAACTCAATGCTGGTCTATTCCAGAACCCACTAATTGGTGCACAACCGTTTGCACAAATGGGTATGATCAATGCTGCTGCTTTTTCTCAGCAAGCAGTAGGTAACATGGGTATGAATTTGGGTATGCTGCAGACGCCATCACAAACAATTCGAATGCAAGCCCAGCAACAGGTAAATAGAATTTTGATCCAATTACTATCTGAGAGCCAAGAACCACTGCTTTATTATATTCGAGCAAAAAGCCATTATACAATACGTCAACATCAGTAGACTAGTTATAATCCCTGAGTTTGCAAACAGTGCGCAGAAATTAGCCTATAGCTCAGGTAGTTTCTTTATTTCAAAGATTGATCTTGATAAATTTTATAAATAGAGTTATTTGGTTTGTAGCGTAAGGCTGCTTCATAATTTTGAATGTTTGTCTGTAGGTTGACTATTAAAGAGTTTTTCAATTCTTCGAACAAATGCACTGAAGAAAAAATGTTTCACATTTTTTATTTTATTATTTGGATAAAATGAGGTCGGAGCTTGAAAAATTTTAATGTTCAGTGCTGTGATTTTCCATGAAATTAATGAGGAAATAGGCTGTAGTTATGTGTGCTTTTTAATTTTGCAAACATGCTGCGCTGCACTAAATTCACTTATAGCGCTACTACTGAATGAACAAATTGATTGATGGTTGCCAGTACTACTGTTTGCTGTTTTTGTTATTAAATACACAAATCTTTTCAATGAGTGAATAGTCCAACATATTCTTTTTATCAGTTACATATTTTGGCGGTAGTGCAGAATTTTCAGCAAAAAAACCGTACATTTTCGGGTGTGGTTACAAAAATGCATGACAATTATGGATTTATCGATGACGATGTTTTTTTCCAAATAAGGTATGTATGGATTAATATTTCTTTGTAACACTGGAGCTCTTCATAATTCCGTGTACATATTTATACGCGTAAAGTTTGATTGTTTTTTATATAAGTATGGAATATTTTTTTCCATAAATTTATAAAGCTGAATATTGGAATCATTCGGTATGTGGAAAATATTGAAGTAACCTCCGTCTTTGCTTTGAACATCTATTGTGGATCTTTATTTGAGCTTACAAAGTTGGTCACGATGCTTCGTAATCTTGATTCATTCAAATAATGGAGAATGAGCAGATGTTTTGAAAAATCGAGAATGAATTTTTTTTGAATCCTAAAAAATTCTCAATAACGATTGGGAATTTTCAACACTACAATCAAGTTTTTAGTAATGTTCGTGGTGCTTTACCACGAACAGGTGATCGAGTTATGGTCGAAGCATCGTATAATCCGACAATGCCGTTCAAGTGGAATGCGTATCGGGTCCAGTTAATTGGCGATAAAGGTGGTCCAGGTAGTGGTGGACCACCGGCTCATACACCTCCAGATCGCAATCGACAACCGATGGCCGGCCGTGGAATGATATCCGGTGAACAAAGTTGGGCTGGGAAAACTCTTGAGAAACCACAAACCGTTGCACATATAAATGATTCCCGTTCACGTGATTTCCATGCATGTAATTTTTGGATCCACTATTAAATACGTCAAAAGGATTTTTGAAATTTCTGTTACTTTATAGATCTTTTTGACTTCAAATTTAAGTCTTTTCCTATTTCAGATCTTAGTAGAGGTGTCTTTATACCATGAGTTGGTTAATTCATACTATTAAAACCATTTTTTGTTTTGCCATTATAGTTGAAAAGTCAAAGTTCTATATTTGTAGCGCCACGTTCTCGTTCGCCGGTTGGAGCAAGTCGACATCGTTCTCCTCGAGTTGGACCATGTGGCCCACCGGCACTTGTACAGGATATGAGGCGTCTGAGCCCGCCGAGACGTATTTCACCACCTCGAGGTCTTGCACGACGATCACCTCGAAGGTTTTGTTTTTCAGTAGCATTGTATAATTCGCTGGACATCCGGGAAGAAATTTGAAAAAAATGTGCTCATTCTATCCTCATTTTTTTGCATATTCATAACATTTTTCTATTTTGCAATAGGAAATACAGCTAGGTATCAAAAATGTGGTAATTCTGAATTCCTGAAGTCAAAAGCATTTTTTTGTAGAAGTCCACCTCGTGACTACACAAAAGGCCCAATGGGTCGTATATCCCCAAAACATTCAACACCAGCACGAAAACATGAAGGGAAACGGGAGCATTCAGCTAGTGTTTCGGGACGTAATCGATCTCCCTCACAGAAGCATGATCCCAGTACTCATGATAGTTTGTCACCTCCTCGTCGACGTGCGCGGATCATACCGCGATATCAGTGTTACATTCCAAAACCACCAATTTTGTAAGTTTATTCTGCTTTTACTTCGTTGTTTTTTTTGTGAAAATAAATTTTTGGATATTTATCTCTTGATTTTTAAGATTTTTTAGTTTTGGTAACTAGATGTAATATAAAGTATATTATAATAAAGAAATGGGACGAGGCAAACCGTGATGCAGCTGCGTAAACGTTATCCCTCACTGTATATTCCATCAGATTTTTCTGATGTTAGTATTGAATGGCCGAAAACGACACCTATCGAAAATCCGATATCGATTTCCACGGCACCCACCACTTACCATATTTTGCATAAAGATATCGATTGCCCAAATGAAAATTTGCAAGCACTAAATCCTCCGGATGCGGATTACCGGTTTTCTGTTAAGGTTAAATTTTCCTTCATTTTATTTTCATATCAGAAAGCTCAGTTTCACAATTTCATCTCGATTGAGTATCTTCTTATTTCCATTAATGCAATCCCTTTTCGATTGCTTGCTTCACTGCTAAAATTTCAATGCTTCAATTTCATTGCCACAATATATTTTCGATTTTTAGGTTGTTTTAATGAGTCATCAGGGTCTATCAGTGGTGCACCAGAAAGCGTTTGGTTTGCTAGTTGACGGTTCAATTGATGAGAATATTGATTCGGCTTCTCTGAAACGTTGCATCAATTTTGTTGTTGGTGAGTATTGAACTAAATTGAATTTTTAACAAAGAAGTTTATTAGCTAAAGTAATGAATGATATAAACTAACTGAATTTACCAATTTAAAAAAAAAAAATTTGTAGGATTGAAAAGTTAGCTGCACCATTGTTTTGTGCTTTCATTTTTTATGTTGGTTTTGTCTGCTCTGTATACTTTCCGTCATATTTGTTTGGTGATTCTTCTTTTATAGGAACACTTCACAAAATGTAGGATTTGCATGTTTACAGCTGGATCAAGAAGCTAATTATCATAAAAATTCAATTTTAGGTACACGTAACAAAGAAATGATGGCAATTGGTGGTGCTTGGTCACCGTCACTTGACGGCGATAATCCTGAATCAGATCCTCAAGTTTTTGTCCGTACTGCAATTCGGACTGTTCGAGCTTTAATTGGAATGGATCTTTCCAAATGTCCTAGATGGTATGTTAGAGGGATTTTTATGCTGATCATTGTGATTTGCTTTTCAGTCTTGACGAATCATAAAGGAAATTTCATGTGCTGGATTTCTTTGATATTGTAGATATTCGGTAGGCGAGGAGGATCATGAATTTTTCATTTTTTTCTGAAATTTTAATAAGTATGATGAGTACTGGATTAAGAAGTATGTCGCGGAAGATCAGTTTAGCGATTTAAGTTGGTAAGTGCATATTTTGAGGGGTAAAATTCTGTATTTACCATGCATAAAGCCATGCAATGCAGTGTCTTCGGTATAGTGATGGAGTACCTGAGAACTTCCTGCTCCATTGTTCTATTTATTAAGTCATTTTGAATCCTAACTTGTATAAAAGCTGTATTCTTAGAACATCATCATGCTTCCACACGACAGTGATGCAACGGCTGATTGGGAGAAACGGCTGCTGAAAATATTTTTTTCACTTGCATGACTTAAGTTTTCAGTAGTTTACACAGTTCAGTTTACACTATGCAGCTTAACCTTTTACGAGGATAAGAAGCTGTGTTTGTGAAGTTCTATAAAACTTTAAACTTAACTAAGATGTAAATTTTGCATTATCAGTTGTCAGGTAGATCTAGTGTGTAATTTGAACTTTTTTTGGAGGAATGGGAAAAGACGAAAGCTATTATAGTGATAAGCTGAAACAAAGTTTTGAGAAACCACTATGAACCCTCAGGTACAAAATGGCGGAGATTCGTTACTATCGTGCTGAGAAAGATCGAATGGATACATGCTGCTTGTTTCTGCCGGACACCAGTGGTTTGATGCCCACCGAAGACTGCTATCAACAGTTGCTGGCTACGCTAAAGGATCAGCTTGGGAACAAACTTGCTGCTGTAGATGCTCAAAAAGTCGTTCTACCATCCACTGTAGCTGCCACTGCTACAGGTCCTGGAGATGCTGGGGAGGGAACTGCAACCACAACCGAGCCGGCAGCTCCAGCTGGTGATACTCAACAGCAATTGCAGCAGGAACAACAGCAAATTGATGCCAACAAGGAGCAGGTGAAAACACCTAATAAAAAAGAAAAGAAAGAACAAAACACCATTCATTCACTTTGAATTTTTTGATTTTATCAGTATTAATAATTATCTAAGCGTTTTGTGTGTGTTTTGCTTGATTTTTTATTTTCTCTTTCATTTTCGTTTTTTTTTTTTTTTTAAATTTCTGTTCAGTTTAGTTTGTCCCATTTTCCAGTCATGTATTGTTTTCCAGCAAACCCCTGGAAATAAACAACCGTACTTTATTCAGAAATTCGTAAAAAGCACTATTTTTTCAGCAAATGTTTTCATGTATTCGTGCCTAATTATATATCGCCACAATTAAAATTTTCAGACTTGACAATTGAAACTGAGAATTGCATGCTTTGCACTTATTTTTTTAATGATAGATAAAAAATATGGTAAAAATGACTGTTGGTTATAGTTTCGATAGCGTGAAATTTCTAAGCTGATGCACTTGAATATTTAGAAAATTCCATTTTCCTAATAAGATTTTTTGATAAAATTTTTCAAGCGGATTATTGTTTGGCATACCTCTTTTTGATGAACTATCAACATCGCTATAACGTTTTATCGATTTGATCGTTTTTAGGTGCAAGAAGTGGAAGAGGAAGATGATGAAGATTTAAATCCAACCCATTGGTCCAAATTGGATATCAAAACAATGAAGGTTACTTTTTTATTTTTGTTCGCAAGAAATTTCAAATATCTTGCGCAAGAATCATGAAATAATTGCAAGTAGATGTTGTCTAAATGTATTAATTAATTCATACCTTTTTTTGAATCCATCAGTTTCTTTTGCACATTTTTTATAGTTATTGCTTATTTGTAATACATTTTTTTGAGCAAAAGACGATGTTAGTGCGCCTTCAGAGCAAGATCACTGAATTAAGTCATGAAAGGATTATAAAATTGTTTTTGAAATTTTTAAAAAAAAATTTTGTTTACAACATTTCTTCTTGGGCCTTTATTAATCATGACTTATTGTTTGTAAAATGAATTTGCAGCTAATCCATTTTTAGGTTGCTGAATTACGACAGGAGTTGATGGCTCGCGATTTAGAGACAAAAGGGGTGAAATCAGTTTTATGCTCTCGACTTCAAGAAGCACTTGACCAAGAAAAAGCAAGTGACGAAGACAAAGGGGATAAGGTGTTTATTTTGTAGGTGTTAATAATAGGGATGATTAGCGAAAAATAAATTTGCAGCTAATCCTGTTTTTACACTTTTTTCTGGTTGAGTTCATAATAGCTAATCCTGTCTTTACAGTTTTTCCTGGTTAAGTTCATAATTATTCAAAGAACTTTGAAATTGCAAAGGAGGTAACATTCTAGCTTTTATATTTGGGAATTATTGAAAAGAGCTATTTATGATCATTTCGTTCAGGTTGAAACAGTTAAACCGAAAGAAGAAATAGAAGAGAAAGAACTGACAGATGATGACAAAAAAGCTATCGAAAAATTTGTACGTTTTATTTACAGACATTAGTTTTATTGAATATCTTTTAGATTATTCAAGAAATCTTGATTAACGGTTGTTTTATGACCAAAAATTATTTGCTTATATTGGCTAAATTATGTAAGCGATCATGTAAGTTAGGTTAGTTCTTTCAGATCTGCATTTAAACTACGGTTTGCTGCGTCAGTTTGAAAATACAATTAACACTTGAGTTTTCAAAAAGAAAAAGTAAAATAATGGCATTTGTACATTACCATAGCTAAGATTGTTGCTGTAAATTTTGTTTCAAGGAAAAAGAAAAAAAGGAAAAAAAAGCTTCGCTAGAACGTCATTTCACTATTCCAAAAGAACTGGGAATACTGGTTTATCCGAATCGTATGGTCAAAGGGGGAAAATTTGACTGCAAAATAGTTTCCCTTCATACAATGTTGGATTATCGCATTGAAGATAATAAAGAACATTCTTTTGAGGTACATTCCAATATTATTCTTTCAATTAAGTGTTTAATGTAATTTTATTTCTTTTAACTTTCACGCAATACTCAAAGTAATTTAGCTCTGAGAATTTTTTTCATCACGTAGTGCAAACTCATTGATGTCCAAGCATGGTAAAATAGTTTTAGTGAAATTGAAACATTCGTCTCTGCATTTAACATGAAATTAATCGACAATTTCTGCAGGTTCATCTCGTCCCCTTCGCATAAATTCATGTTGTTAATTTATCAGCAAAACATATTTCTCATCCTATCTTTATGGATTCAAATTTTAAATCTTAAATACGAATTTTTAAAAGATAATATTCAGGAGGGAATTTTTTTAGCTGGCAATTATGGCAGAATGTATCAATGAAATGTTGGATCGTTCACAGGCGTTCGTTGCTTACAAAACATTGAGCTGTGCTATGGATAAAGATTCAGAGAAGAAACGTCGTGAAGAGGCAAAGCTTGCTGAAATTGTAGGGACGGAAGGTATCGTTTCATTTTCCTGAGATTAGTTTTATATTGAGATCTAAGTATTTAATCTAAATCGAAATGAACTTGAAGTGTATAAAATTATAGAAATCCTCATTTTCAGAAGGAACAGAAAGTGGTAAAGCTGACAAAACTGAAAAATCCGAGGAAGAGAAGAAGAGAGAAGATGAAAAGAAAGAGGAAGAACAAAAGAAATTTCTTGCTGAGGCACGAAAGCCAATTATTATAGATCGAACAGTCTTTCAAGCTTTCGCTCACTTCGATCAAAATCTTTGCGGGTATGTTTTAGAAGCATTATTACAAAGAAACTAAACGATTTATTGCTAGAAGATTTTGGATTTGATTCACATTCTAGGCTGACAATATTTGATATTATAATGAATGTGGGGGTTTTCCAGGTATATTTTGGAGAAAGATTTCGAGGAAATACTATATTCTATAGGTCTGAACATTTCTCGAGCACAGGTGCAAAAGCTATTAAAGAGGTATTTGTCGCGTGATCGGATAAATTATCGCTACCTTACCGATAGCTGGGCAAATAAAGATGGTACGGTAACATACAGACCCGGTATGATATCAGATCCACCTACAAGTGAACAACTGGCAAAGGGTAGTTCGTTTGCAAGTTTTCCATATTTTTATGTTTTTTTTTTTTTACTTTGTTATTATTTCAAATCTGTTTTTTTACTTCGTCATTATTTCAAACCGTATTGTTTTCCAACAGGATTTGTTTCCATTTATTGATTAAAACTCTCAAATTGTCAAAGTTTTTCAGTTTCTTATTTATTATTATTGTTCAAGGAAATATATCAAAGGAGTCAACAGATGCTGACAAAACGACCACGGGTGAAGCACCGGACATCAGTACAACAGGATCTGTAATATATTTGGGTTCTCTAATGAATATACCACAAGTTCTACGGCAGGTTTCAAAGATGGAAGCTGACTGTAATGCTGCTTTACAAAAGGTCGATGTATTAGAAGCACAACTAAGTAATTGTTAAAGATTCTTTGCGTGCTGGAATAGTTTTTGAATGGTTACTTATCATGAAGTAAAGATCAGTAGTGACTAGTTGCAGTCATAAAATATTATAGTTGCAAGGAATTTTTTTGTTCTGCAGAAGATGGTGCAAAGCACGTTCATGTGTTAGAGAAAAAGAAGAAAAGACTGGAAGAAGATGTTGAAAAATATCGAAAGCGATTGCATGATGCAGAAAAATGTTTGAAGGTCAGTTATTATCCTTTTTTTGAACTTCAAAATTATTTAAATTGCAGAGTTTCTTAGATATGTAAAAGTAGCGACTCGTTTTTTGAAATTGATTCGTTAGATTTCAGAATTCTGTGGATGATACTGTGCAAATGAAAAGTGCGATCCAAGAATTTCGCCGAATCGGTGAGCGAATGATCGGCATGGCTGAGAAGCTGATGCCAAATCCGAAGGAAGATGAGAAGATCTCTGAAAAGGATGAGAAAGATATGAAGAAAGAAAAAAGAGATGATAAGGATGAGAAAAAAATGCCAAAAAAGGTTTTTATTGGCCGCTTAGTACATTTTTAGATCCTGGGTTCTACTAACTTTTTAGAGCTTCAATTATTTGTTTAAAATAACAAAATGAAAAATGTCGAAAAGTTGAATTGCATTTGATGCTTTACAAGTTTTAAAAAATTTGTAAAGAAAATGTAGATTTCAGAAGGACTCAGCTCCTACGAAAGTAAACGGTGAGGCCGAAGAAAAAAAGGAATTACAGTTGGTTGATGAAGTTGGTGGTAATGATGCTGGAGACGAGCCTATGGAATCAGATGTTATTGTGCTGTCAGAAGAAGTAACAGGTGATGAAGAAAAGGATGTTAAAAAAGAAATCTTGTCACCGCAGAAGACAGATTCTACAACTGGAATTATAGAAACTGATAATACTACTTCGCTTGCATAGAAAAAATAAGCAGAAATATAAAATGATTCGGTTATTAGCAAGATGTTTATTTTAGAATTTATTGGTTTTTCTGTTCTCTGAAGTACCAGTTTGGACGTAAGAATGGGAACTATCTTCTCTCAAGTTCTCATTTGTTTCACAAGTTGGTAATTTAATGAACAGATATCACTGTCATTTGTGTTTTAATATGCTACTGTTGCCAGTGTTTTATTTGCATTTTCTAATAAATTTTCGTTTGTATTTCTTTTTGGTTTCCTTTTGTACTAATCAGCTGGTTCGAATAACTTCCTTTGTTACTATTTTTTTTCTTTTAATTTTTTCTGCATTTTAGCTTTCCACTATTTTCGTTTCAGATTTTGAAAGTAATATTGCATGAATAGAGAGACTTATAAAGTTGTCAGCAAACATTTTCACATTTTCTGATGAGGAAGAGATTCCCGAACTATCTGAACAAAATGACAAATTCATATGAAGATTTTTCCTACCGACAAATTGACCAATTTCTTTTTTTATGTCATTTCTCATCAGATAACTTGAGTTTACTTTCCACTGTTTTATTTTTGTTGTTGGGATTGTTTTTACATGTTCCACTCAATATATTGCAGTAGTATCGCGACAGATTATTTCATTATGTTTTCATCGTGTTGATAATTTTTTGATAAATTACTGTTGTATATCTGTTTGATTGCTGTTCAAAATCAAATATGAAATAAAGAACACAGTTTTATACATATCCGAGGACATTTCTTCATAGTATTTGCGAAGAAATGTCCTAACAATAAGTTGCTATAAAGTTGAGGCTTTATGCCATAATGGCGGTTTTTTGATTGACTTGATTGATCCTTATCGTTTTTTACTTCACTTTTTTGAGATCATTTTATTTTCAGTCTTATTAGTGGAAAATAGTAGTGGGAGAAAACATGGGGTCAGGTTTGAAGTGTATTTCAGTTATACCTCAAAATATCCATTCTGAACACTATAAACAAAAGTTTTCGATAAAGTTGTAAATGTTCAGTCATAAATCGTTTTGTGGGACTTTCTGATGGGTAGTCATCGTGGTAAGATCTTTTCCCCGACCTGATTTGTCACTACCATCAGCAGAAATGTAATGTGCCCATCATAATGTGATAAAGAAGTTCTTTATCTGGACAGAATCGATCAATCGTTCACAATAATCAAGTTTACTAATAGAAATATTCTGGTAGTGAATAAAGATAACCTATTCTACATTAGAAGTATTCAAAGAATAATAAAAGATTTGAGATTAAAGATTTCTTCTGAAATTCACTCATCATTACCAGTAAAAATTTAGCTTTGCAATGATTAAATTAATTTATCACAGTTGAGAACTTATATGTAACAAGTGCCAGATACTAAAATTTAATTAAATTAGCACAATATCACCTGGTTAAATTGAATATCAAAATAACTTTAATCTGAAAGTTTGAGAATCAAATTTTCAGATTAAAATTATAATTGGGAATCAGTTGTATTGCGACAGTGGAAGAGATTATAACTAATGTTAACCGAATAATATACTCAAAATTTTCTGAAATTATCAGAGAAAATTCTCTCAGACGATGGGTTAACTTAAATTTATTTGCATTTATTTGTTCAATGAGTTTTGATGAATGGAAAGAAACGATAATTGGGTGGAAAATCTCTTTTTCTCACCTCTTTTTACTAAAAACAAATGTAATATTGGCTAAACATAAGCACAAATTTTCTAAATTGCAAATTAGAAAAAATAAAAGGAACTGTCTTTCATAAGGGAATGTGAAAGAGAGTATTTCAAAGTATTAACTGTCTGCTGTTTTAATCTTTTATAATTTATTATTATATCAATTTTAGATTTAATATGATTTTTTGCAGGTGAAAAGTATTAATTAGTAATTGAGAAACAAATGGTGAAATGTATGTGGAAAAGAAATGGGAATAGTTTATTAATATATTAAATCAAACTAGTAGATCGATAGGCTGAAATGAATGAGATATTCTAAAAAGATGAGTTTCTAAAAAAAATATAATTTGTAAAAATATTTATAAAAAATTGCTGAAATGAATGAGAAGATAAAAGATCAACAGCAAGATTTATAATTTATTTACATGTTAGATTAGGCAAAGCAGAAATTTTGAAACGATGCAGTGATACATATAAATAAATAGTTATGATCGTATTTGGGGCAACGAAAGATTATTCTCAACAGATGTTACAAGTGTGTGGATAAATGAAATATGAATGCGAATTTCATCCCATTTTTCAATTTGCTGTTCGAGAATTTGATTACTTATTTAAACTTATTTTCTTTGAAATTATTTAGAGAAGAAAATGTCCATAAAAATATGTACTGGTTGCTCAGGAATTTTTCGAATTTTGATGAAATGTTACATTTTACAGTTGAATTATTTAATTATGAATGAATTTTATCATTGCTTTTTTTGTATGTATGAATTAGTAAACACAATTCGTTACATTTGAAAACGTAATGCTGGCATGATGATAGTTATAAAGTGAAAAAAAAAGTAAACAAGAAACCATTTCCCAGCAATAACTGAATCTTATTTTTATAAATAAACTTTCAGTTGAAATTCAAATCTTCCGAGAAAAACGCGCGCAATTTGCTGTAACAGCCATTTAAGGCATTATCATTGAATGCTATTCATATTATTATTGCAATTACTGCAGGCACTATCAGTGCGGATTACGAGACGTTTCTTCTTTTTTGACATATCTCACTGATTTTAGGTATCTTTCAAGAAGAGGTCTGAAATGAACCAAAATGAAGAATGGTATGGATTGTTGAAGAAAATGAAAGATTTACATACATCTTTAAGTCCATCAAAACTTGAATTTGATTTTGCAGAAATCGTTGCATGACAATAAATATTTACTGTGATAAAAGGCCGCAAATGATGTACGATCTTTTGAACAGTTCGTTTACTAATAGTTGAAATATGGAAATGAATAATAAATGAAAAAGAGATGAGAAATGCTCCAAAAAACTTTTGTGTTTTGTTAGATAAAGGGACACCCTTTTGTGTCTGACATTTTCTTCATCACAACATTTATCACTTTTTACGGAATTAAAATTCCATTCGCATTTCTGACACATGTTTTCTTCAGCGTAAGGTATTATAATTTATAATGCCTGGTTATGAACATTATCATTACAGTAATCTTTTTGTGATAATTTTGCACTGACATTGCAGTGAATTTAGCGAACTATTTACTTAAGCAATTATCATCGTACCGTACTGAATCAACATCTATACATCGCCCTTGTCTTTTGATATTTCAATTTCCCCATCACTCTATTTTGCAAGCATAATTTCGTAGAAAACAAAATAAATGAAATGGGATAGGTCAATTTCTCTGCACTGACTGCTTCTTGTCGACATTGTTTGTCATCATTGGGAAAGAGAGAAGCGTGCTGCCGTCATTCGTATGTGATGCATAACCATCTTCAGATCACATGATAACTAACCCAGATGTCGCATTCCTTATTTCTTCTTTTAACC